CCTTATATTCCTGTGGCAAAGTGTTTGGTAACTCATGATCGCGGTAAACTTTTAAAGATCTCAAACGTTTTAAGTTTATTTTGTATTTTGTCACTCCTACACTTACTGTATCTTCGAAATAACTATAACCATTATTGATATTTAAGTGCCAAGCTTAAACTTTTTCGGTTTTTTTTGTTTGGTTTTTTTTTCCCATCCCCTCATATTTCGGCGATCGTTAAACTGAAATTGTTCGACAAACTTTCCTATTTTCTTTCGGACTCTGCTGATCTTGTTTCATATAAAATGAATGCTTTAAACAGCCTTTTCATGCTCATTTGCGTCATTATTAATGATTTACTTTCAATTTTATGCGTAAAGCTCTTCGAATGTTCGTTGATATCTTTTTATTATTGTTGTCTGAGCGTCTTTTGTGAATTAAAAATTGGGATCGCTTGATCCGAAGTGAACATCAGGTTAACTATCGCAATGGAGATTTTGCACAACGGACCCTTAAGACGTGAGGAAAAAAAATATATATATAAGGACAATTCAAATTTTTCATGATTATATTTACATTACCTCTTGGTTCGTTATTCATTTTCTTGATTAGCATTCAATCCTTGTATTTCTCGTAATGCCTCGCATTAAGAAAAATTCCATCGACCAGTCATCCTTAAAAAGACATAAGAATGATCCATGTTTTGATTGTGTCCCTGACTTAAAAACAAAGCTTAAGGAATCAATCAAAAGACATTTGGAATCTATGTCACAACAAGGTGTCGTATTCCCCACCAATCTTCCTCTCGAAATTCTTTTGGCTCCCTCAAAGAAAACGATGAAAAATTTAAGGGGAAAAACTGGTGAAAAAAAACGTGCGCAAAACGGTTTCATATTATATCGTAAAGACAATCATTTCATTATTCAAAAAGATTATCCTCTCGCGTCCCAACCGGAAATCTCAAAAATCGTTAAAAAAAGATGGGAAACAGAATCTGCGGAAAAAAAAAATTATTACACTATTCTCTCTAGCGTAGATTTTCTTGTACATAATGAACTATTTGGCACTGGTAGCAACGATTACAACGTAGAGTGTGCAGATCACGGATCGCCGTCCGAAAAAGAATTTATGGAAGATCAAGATGATGAACCTTGGAAGAGGGCTGTCACCATGCCACAGATGGTGTTGCTTCCAATTGCAGAGAGTCAAGAATGTTTCAAGTCCACTGCAAATTCCCAAAGAATTTCACCTTTACAACCGGCTTTCTATCTACAAAATATAGTTACGGCAAAGAATTCTCAAGCAGAGCGACATTGGTCTCCAAATCCTGCTTCCAGAGATTCCAATCACGCAACTGATTTTTATCAATGCGAATCAGATCTTCCATGGAATGAAACACATACTTTAGGTGACTCTTCATTTCAGTCAGATGATCATCTAATCGATCTAGTTAACCCACCTGAATCATATTCACAAACAATTGGAAATAACTTTAATCAGCGAACAGAATATAATCTTGACTTTGTAAATTGCACTGCTCGCATTGCTGACGATTTATGCTACGCCTACGCTAACACATCAACCAACGTTTATTACCCGCATTTATTGCCACAAAATCCCGTCGTTCTTTCAAATGATTCAACTGTTATGGTTATTGCCCCATTACCACATGATAATAGCAACATAATTACTCCTTATTAAGTTGAATATGACAATAATGCATCGAATGAAAATAAGAAAATCATATATAAAATTTCATTAACTTGTAAGATAAGGATTAGACTAAGCTGTATGAATAATTATTAAGTTAATCCGCAAGAATAAGGTCTAGGTTTTAAGGGGACAACCTTACATAAGCTCATTCATAAAACTCATTTTAATTACATGTTTTAAGATCTCTTAATATTTCAAATTAGTTTTATTCCATGAATTGATTCCCAATCAACTTTAAAGATTATTATTAACATTCTTTTATGGTTTAAAAAAATAATTTTATAATGCTGATACATTTATTAATGCAATACTAAATTAAGCTTTTGATTTTCGGTTGTGTTTATCCATACGTACCGATATGCTCTTACTTTTTTGTATAAATCTCCTAATATGTGACAAAAAAGGTATAAATCCCGGCTCTCTTTCATTGACGCGTCTTATCGGATCTGCAATGACAAACATCCACTGACATGAAATAAATTGTCCGAATAAATTATCCGATTGCTTTAAAGCTCCCATGCTTTTATATTAAATTGATTAAGTAATTAGACACTTCATCATGTGAATTTTTTTTTCATAATAAAAAGTGGGCAATTTTTCCGCTCTGTACTTAGCCCTGAGTCATATATGGGAGATCAAGTCTATAATTGAATCCATTAGTCTCTTATCGAGCCTGGTATTTCTGCCCGAAGTCGATGTGAGCAACTACCCGACATCCTTATATTGTATAATAGAAACGATCATTTATTAGTCAATTCACTCATTTTACAATTACCGTATTCCCCCGAAATAAGTACCGTTTTTTATTATAGAGGTGCTTATTTTTGGGTATAATATCTGATGATTTGACATTGAATTGTTTATTTCGGGGAATGCTTATTTTCGGAGGAATACATATTTAATCAAATAAGTAAATCTCGTAAAGCACCGCTTAAGTATCGAAAGTCCTTATACTGCTTCCAAAGATGGTTTCTTAAATTAAATTCAAAAGGTTGCGACAAACTGCAAATTCTCTAAATTCTCTATAGTAATAATAAAAAGAGATTACAATTTTACGGGTATAAAATTTTCAATATAATTATATTATACTGATGTATAGGTAATTTGCAGTAAAGTACGTATAATCGGCCGCATAAGCAGTCAATTATACTTTACTACACAATTTCGTTTATATCCAACTATACAGGATATAACTTTCATGGATTTATTTAAAGCGAAACCTTTATTTTTTTTGACACTAAAAGACTAAATAGGATAATATATACGATACTTAATCAAATAGATATGTATAATAGAAATAGGTACATGAAAAAGGTTAAGTCGATGGTTAACCAAGGGATAATTATACTTATGTAGTATACATTTAATACAATTTCTCATGTCTAGCACTGTAGTTTAGCCGGATGCTAGTAGTTTAGCCGGGCACTAGTTTGACTCGAATTTAAACCGTTTTCATTCGAATCAAACCATCCGAGTTTATCGTGTCATTAGTCAGTTCAGAACTTTAAACTGCAAGTTGATGTTAAAGGGTTGAACCTCTAACCTAAACACGCAACTTAGGGTTTAGGATGGCAGCTGTTTTCATAAATTCTGGGACTGAAAAATTTCCGGTGACCGAATTGATAAGTTACGGAGTTGGAACCAATAAGTCACCCGATGTCGACCGAAACCAGAAACTTATCAATTCGGTTTTGTAATTTTTTCATTTGTCCTAAAACAGTTGTAATACTGCCTAATAGTGTTTTTCGGTCCGGGTTTAATCCACTCAGTTCAATGTAGCTACCGGAAAATCAGGTTTATTTCTTACGAATATAATTCAAACCGAAATTAAAGCTGACAAATTCGAATTATGTTCTGGAAAAATTGGATTAAGATTCTGACTACGAGTGATATAATATATTAAACAAGATATTTTGCAAGAAAAAAGCACGAGATTATAATTTAACTTAACAACGTATAACAAAATATCTGTTCCGGGTTAACTTCCTGAAGCCCATTTTTCTGAAATACCATTTCACCGAAGTCGTAATACTGACAATCAATTTTACTAATAGGGCATAGTTGGATACTGACAGTCAATTCACCGAGAAGTTTATTTCATCGACAAGTTTTTTAAAAATTGCACTAACCTTAACTTTAATTCTAAACTGACCCTAATGACATTGATCGGAATTACCTTTCAGTAAAATGACGCACCTAGTATCGCCACCAAGATCAGGAACGCAATACGGAACTTTATTTGCCGATATTAAAATAATGATGATTAAAACAATAATGACGATACAGTATTTTGATTAATAAGAATACATACAATAATAAAAAAATTTTTTACATCGAAAATTATTTCTTCGAATTTGTCGGTAATATTTTCTAAAATGGAAAGTACGTCCTGTCGAATCGTGAAACTAGGGATCTTAATGTTAATCGGTCCTGCAGTAATTGTCAGCTGACTTTGAACAAGATACGTAGAAAATTGATATTTTTAACTAGTACTCGTTCAATAAATAAAGTTATAGAAAGGTTATTTCTCTATAACAGTCTCTAATAAAAGTTTATCGGTGATGCAGACATTTGAAAACGTATGGTTACGTCCAGGGACCCTAAAAAATTGCGATATCCATTGCACAAATATTGTTTTGGGTATTAGCAAAAAATGTTTTTTATTGTGATATAAATTTTTTTTAAAATTTTATCTATTCTGATTGAAATACATGATATTTAACATTTGTACTGAATCTAATCTAAGATTTTGTCTATTATCAGCTAAAATGTTATTGTAATTAGAAAAACTTCGCTCAACTGCACAAGAAGAAATCGGAAGCCAAATATATTCTTGAGCAATTTTGCTTAGTTCTGGTAATTTTTCAGATATTTTTTCCCAAAACTCAGCTAAGTTATTATACTCAATTGTTGCTAATTCAAAATTACAATAAATTGACCATTCATACATTAAAGAAGAAGAAGGATTTTCTAATTCACTAATAATATAATAAGAATGAATATCATGATTAGCAGTAAAAGACGAATAAAAGGTGGATTAAAAATTTGCATAGTTTTAAATAAAGGTCGTGCTGGGTGGTTTTGAATATGATCTGTATATTTTTTGTAAGCAATTTGAAAAGAATTTTGAAAAATTAAAAGAAAGGAATCAAGTGAGTAATTATTGGTAATAATAAATTCCTGAATATTAGAAGGAAAAATAAATGAAGACTGATTATTTTGAATGTATAATCCAAGTTGTTGAATATAAGATTCAATATATGGAAATACAGGTAGATTTTGGGTTTGAAAAAAAACTAAATCATTAACAAAAACTTAGACAAATTGCTTAATAAAATGAAGGTAAACTTCAACAAAAAAGTTATACTGTGAATTATTAAAAGTTTCAACTATTTTTTCAACTGTGGGGAAAGAATTTTCATTTTTTTTTTATAGTAAAAACCACGTATGTAATTAAAGTTTTCCATTACATAAAATGCCAAGCGGAACCATGAGCTCCATCTAGTTTTGTTATAAAGAGGAATTTTTTGTGGCTTTTCAACATTATGATGACATAAATATATTGAATATCGGCTTCTTTGACTTTTACATTTAGAAACAGATTGCTGTATTTCGGCAAGTAAACTCTTAACAAGATCAAACTGTGCTATTGACATTCATGTCTCTCTAAGTTTATTAGTAAATGTTAAACTTAAAATAAATATTAATTGAACAAAGTAACAATCAAATTAAATTAAATTTTTGACTAAAAATTTAATAATATATATATCCGATTAGATTTAAGATATGCGCTATGCATATTATATGAGTAAGTTGGGGCATTACAGATTTCAAAATATTATTAAAACATTTTTTCATATATGATGCAGAGTTTGAAATAAAAAGTCTTGTAGTATTAAATAGAATGGACCATTCAATTAAAGTTCGAAGAATAAGTTGCCCTACTGTAATATTATTAACATCATTAAGGAAGTTTACTAAAACTAACTTAGTTGCATTTTGATAGCTAAATAAGATATTGACCATGCTTCTAGTATAGTCATCTGTTGTTTCATCAACAATAAATGAAACTGGCTTGTTACAAAATTCTAATTTAATAGCTGAAATATGTCTTCATATATCGGCTCTAAGTAATTATATCTTAATGATTTAGCTGAAGGAATAGACCCACCATTGATAAGATTTTTCTTAAGCCATAAATGTAAACTATCAACCTTTTCTAATGGTATATTGGCATTTACGAATGCCTCAACTAAATCTAAGATTGTATTCTTTTTTTTGTGTTGCATCTATTGATATATATAATGTTTGTTGTTTTAATATTATCTCACACTGTTCTTTTGCTTTTTTATTTGCAATATGTCTTGTACTACTTATGTGAGTTGTAATAGTTGATTTTACACTATAGTTAATAGGTATGTCACAAAATCGACATATTAAAAATCCATGATCCTCAAAAAAATGGTCTGAGAATTCATTTGCATGGCTTATTGCATTAACTTGGCATGTTGGTAGCATTTGAAACAAGCTATTTAAAAAAAAACTCTAATTAATTATATAGTTCAGACTATACGTTACAAAAAAAAAAAATTTTAAATTTAAATATAATATCTTATATGATAATTTTTTTTTTTCTCAAAAAAAAACATCAAGTAGCCATCATTAGTTTAATAGTTTT